CGTCCATCACTTGAGAATGATAGACTATTTATAAAACCAGGCTACATAATGAAGGAGAGAGAGAGAGAGAAAGGAGGATATAAGACATAAAAATTATCTTCAAATATCTTCTTACTAGTGGAACAGTGAACAGCTTCTCTAATGTCCTAAAGCTCTCCCCACACTTCCAGAAATGTATATTCCCATCTCTTGACCCTAAAAGGACATACAGTGACATGTACATATGTACACGGAATGACACAGCAAGATGACGTAGAACATTTATTAGCAATATGCACCTCATAAATAATGTTAGTGAAACAATGCTGAGATTAAGTCATTGACTATAAAGGAATGCAATCAGATTCATACTACCCTGCAGTACAACAACAAATAACATAGCAGGCATATATAATGTAATTTTACTTGTACAATACAGATTAGTCAATAGCATTCAATAGCATGGATCCATGGCCAATAGGTAAGTGGGTATGGCTATAACAACAAAGCTTACCAGAGGCAACAAGATCAGAGTGTGGTAGAGCAGTTACTGCTGTTATCCAAACATCAGCAGAGTCGTGGGAGGAACTCTTGAGAACCTGTGGCTTCTTCTTAGAATTGTTCCACAAAGCTACACTACTGGGATAAAGGAAAGAGGGAGATAGAGGGGGGGAAAGGAGATAAGTAACAGTAAAAGGACTAATGTACCCATCCTGTGATCCTGACACAAAGTTCTTATCATTAATCATCTTCACAGTATCAATAGATGACCTACAGTATAATATCATTATAGTACTCTTATATTAATGATCCTTTACTTGTGTCCATGATACACTAAATGTGACTCTTCGATGATCTTCCAAACTCTGATAGTCTTATCCACACCAGCTGTTATTGGACGCTCTTGTGAGAGACAGTCTATTGCGATTATACCATCTTGATGACCAAAACTAACACAAAAACAGGAGCACATTACTACTATCATCATTACTATTATTACAAGCAAGAGTAGATTATCACTATCATTAGTTCACTATATACTATTTATTATTATGTACAGTGTTTCAACATATGTCATTTCACTGATGTTCCAGACTTTCACTGTCCTATCTAAAGAAGAGCTAAACAACTGATTCGCTCCGTGTTGGAAAACTAAACCCTGAGAGAAGAGCAACAAGAAAGAAACAGAAATAAAATTACAAATTCACACAATGGACTATGTTCTACAGCTTACAGTAACAGAATTCTTATGTCCCCTAAATGTATGCAAATGAATGCAAGTGAGAGGATTCCACATGTGAATGAGGTTATCAGTTCCACCACTAGCCTACACATACACAACAACACCAGGTGTTACCAGTTATGTCTTTCCCTCTCTTTCTCACCAAATACATTCCATCAGTGCTAACTGCCAATGCTAATACATGCCCAGTGTGACCAGGGGCTCCTTCCTTCCCTCTTGTTATCATTACTTCTTTGACCCCTTTCTCAACATTCCCTTTAATAAAAAGAGGGACAGTTCACAATATGTACACATTAAAACACATATTCACCACCATCATAATATTACATTATAGCTTTCTGATAACAGTTTCCTGTAGAGATGACATATAAAACAGCTTGTAATAATCTTTTGTGTAGTATAGAGTAACGGGATATCACCTTCACTTTAATTAAATACTACTCTGTCTCTCTCTCTCTCGTAGCAGCTGCAATAACCCACACATTATAATAGGCTTCCATTCACTCACACATTAACCATATATAGCATAGGAACATGGTACATTATGAAATAGTTCAAATGTCAGTGATCACTCATTGTCACCAAACATGTTGTGTATTATACATGTACTTACATTTTATGATACACGAGTCCTTGCTGCCAGTAAATGCGTATCTGCCGTCAGGAGTGAGTGCTAAAGATGTCACTGATAATCTGTGACCTCTAGAGAATCTAATGGACTCCAAAGGAGGAGCTGTACACTGAGAGAGAGAGAAGTCATAAATAAGATAATGCTTAAGCTGATGTTTATACTTGATCAGCAACAGCTTTGTGTATCCTTCCTGATTTCTCTAGCTAATGAAAACAAAGAGTTGTTTACAATATCAATAACAATTCATCACTTCTCCCTCCAGCTCCCTCTCTCTCTCTCTCTCTCCTTTCACTCCTACATCCTTTCAACATTCCATTCCTCACTGCTTTCTCTTGCAGCCTACGACCAATGGCATCATTATCAACATCATCATCTTCATCTTCTTCAGTTGAAGATCCTCTTTCTAAAACATAACAAAAAACAATTACTATTTTGAAAATGCTTTGCTGATAGTAACCTAATACTAATGTTACATGCAGTGTGACAGGACAGTACTAATATTACTAATAAACAAGTAATGTCATTGCAGATGTTTGTGGATTCTTCTTAGCGAGTGGTATAGTAAACAGACGGAGCGTGCGTTG